ACTATAAACGGGATTGCGGTTGAAAGGTGACAGGAAACCCAGAAGATTAGGGTTTGACTGAGATCCCATGTTTCTTCCAATTAGGCCGTTATTATCCTGATTCCTGCATCATCAGAACATCAATCTATCACTAAAATAATATTAGCAACAAATCAGAACTGATTAATTCATTCCATCACTTCATAGATAAGTGGGTTAAGTAAAGATCCCGGGAAACTAAAAATGGATCAATTTAAAGAGAAGCATAATTTAAAGAGAAGCATAACTAGTTACTCACATCATATATGAGAGAAGAAGATTGTCGTAGTTGATAATCTAAGAAACGGACATTGGAATAATAGAGAAGAAATGATGGCCAAGCTTACTTTAGACATAAATAGGAATGATTAATAATACCACATGCCAAATCAGGATGTCTATATATAGTGTAAATGGTTCTAGATGCAATTTTGATATTAGTCGGTCTGCAATAATTCATATTTAATGCATACCATATCTCGTGAAATTTCAAATTATGATTTTCAAATACAAAGCTCGTGCATGCATGCATCTTCATCTTTCATTTTCTAATTTTACAACTCATATGTATTCCTAAGAGGATTAAATTATATATATTCAATTACGACATCCATCCAAATTTCATTTTTTATAAGTAAACAACCGGTAAAAATGTCCAATTCGCATCCTTAAACTATTAATTTCATTTTTTATAAGTAAACAACCGGTAAAAGTGTCAAAATTGAAATAAATCGACAATAAAAAATAGAAACAATAAAAAATTAAAAAAATGACCGGTCGTTTACTCGTAAAAAACTAAATTTGAACCATTTTTTGTTGGTTCGGGGTCCGAATTAAACCTTCTTTGGTTCAGAGACTGAATTGAGCTTACATGACCAGTACATGGGCCTATTTGACCCTTTCGCCTTATGTATTTGATTTGAAGAATAATTAAATATATATTCATTTATACATAAACAAAAGAAAAAAAATCCACTTTTGGTCCCATGACTATTATGTCACTTCCACATTTAGTCCCTTACTTTCAGATTGTCCACATTTAGTCCGTGACAATTATCCACTCACCACCCCTCGTCCTTCCGGTCAAAATTCCAGCAAATTTAATGCAGATTTTAGGTATAAAAAACCAAATTTAATCCAAAGACTGATATGAAAAACCCAACCTTATATAAAATTTAATGCAAAGACTGATTCTAAGGCTGATAAGTGGACTAAATTTGCCGGAATTTTGGCCAGAAGGACGAGGGGTGGTGAGGGGATAATGGTCACGGACTAAATGTGGACAATCTGAAAGTAAGGGACTAAATGTGGAAGTGGTATATTAGTCATGGGACTAAAAGTGGAATTTAAGCCCTGAGGTCGTACCGCACTGGTTAGTGCTCTAAGATGGAGAACGTTTTATCCTCTTGGGGACGTTCGTCCACCTTCCCACCGCACCGGCAACTAGGCCCTGAGGCCGTACCGCACTGGTTTGTGTTCTTTGATGGAGAGCAGGTTTATCCTCTTTGGGATTCCCTGACCTCGGGAGTTACGTCTCCCTCTTCCCCCATTTTCTTTTTAATTTTTTTTTTGGGAGGAAGGAATTTAGCAAAATGGTGTCACTGATAGGATTCCTTCACGTGCTCTACATTCCACATGCCAGTAGCATGTCCGTCCATGTTGTGGAGGAAAAACGTCTGACGGGCGTATACCCTGCACCCCCAAAGATCACTTGATCTCCAATTTCTTCTTGTGGTCGTCTGTCCCGAGGGATCCATCTGGCGTTTATCGGCATGGCGATAATCGGCATCTTGGACCTCTGCCTCCCGTCGACCGTCCCTGCGCCACGTGAATGGTTCCTGGTTCGGCTGTTTCAGGTTCTGAGGGGTCGGTCCCCTTGTGAACTCTCCGAGGTAGCCCCTCCAAATAAGTCCATCAATAACCATCCTCAAGGTGTTGCAATGATTCTTGTTGTGCCCTTCCTTGCGATGGTAATCACAGTAGGTGTTGAGGTTCTTTCCCATTGGGCCTCTGGCGATGGGCGACACTTCGAGCATCCCTTTATCCTAGATGGCCTCAAAGATTTCTTCAAAGGGCGTTGCCACCACTCGTCTAGAGGACCCTGGGTTCCCCAAAGGGCGTTTCCACCACTCGTCTTCTTCTTTTTTGTTTCGGGGGGGGGGGGGGGGGGTCTGATGGCCTTGGCCCCAGATGGTCCGACAATTTGTGGCTTGCAGGGACGAACGTCCCATCCTGTTGGGCAATTTCTTCCTCAATTGCCGCATATTTATGTGCCCTGGCTAGCACCTCGGCATAACTGCTCCTGGGGTTCCTCTTCAAATTCAGGTAAAGATCCCAGGTTACAAATGCGTTGGTGAAGAGGGTGATGCTCGTGCACTCCGTGAGGTCCTCGACCTTCAGGGTTTCATCCCTCCACCGTATGAGGAAGGTGGTTAGGGTTTCCTCCTTCCCTTGGCGGACGCTCGTCAACCAGCTGAAGTGCTTTTTCGGTGTGGAGCTGGAGACTAACTGCGCCATGAACTGTCTGGAGAGCAGTTGAAAGCTATTAATGGATCCGGGTCTGAGTTGCCCGAACCATTCCTGCGCCAGCCCTTGAGGGTACTGAAGAACAGCCTGCAAATGACCTCATCAGAGGCTCTCAGCATGGAGAGTTCTCCCTGGAAGGAAAGGACATGAGCTTTAGGGTCCCCGACCCATTGTAAATCGACGTGCCGGACGGCCTAATGTCCCTAGGAATTTCCACCGCCATGATCCTGGCGGAGAAAGGGGAAGAGAGGGCAATTCTGGGCTGAGCTGGATCAATATCCGCTCGTTGGCTCAACTCGTTGATTTGCCTCTGAAGGTCCACGAGCATCGCATCTCGTAGGTCGATGATTGTGGTTGTGGGGGTTACCTGTGCTAAGGCATCATGGGTACGCATGGCTTCAGGGCCATGCTGCCTGTTGATAACGCGGGCCTCTTGCCCCAAGCCGTTGACCACATGTTGTTGTGTTCTTCTGAAGAACCTGCGTCCGGTGTTTCCCGCCATGTCCTGGGACCGTGCATCTCTGACGATCCGTGTATGGATCGAGGAGCGAGAGTGCGTGCTCTCGCCTATACGCTCCCCAAGCGTCTGCATACTGCGGAGGGGAGAGAGCGGGGTATGCTCGGTGCTAGCAAAATACACCCGCTCCGCCTTCCGCTCGTCCACCAAGCAGTGGATGGTACTCGCCATATCCCCTGAGGGCATTAGGGTCCCCCCTGAGTTCGTGGGAGATCATATCAGTAAGCACCCAAAGTCTCCGCGGCTCCACAAACTGCTGGACTGGGCGTTTGCCACCTGCTGGCGTGCTCTTCGGCTGCGTGGCAGCCGTTCTGAGAGATCATATGAGTTTCTTTCATTGTTCCTTGCCATCTTACTTGTTTTGAGTGTTTAAAAATGATTTTCAGCTGAGAGCTTGATTTTGGAAGAACTTTTTGATCAGTGTTGAGGTTTATTCCCTTCAACCCGTAGGTCCAACACACAACCTAAGAGTTTCGAGTGGGTATTTTAAGAGAATAAGGTCAAACAAGTAAGATGAGGCCCAATAAGAAGTCTTGGTTTAATTCCACTATCACAAGGCATGAGGCCGTTTGTACCTACAAGGCGTGAGGTCGTTCGTACTTACAAGGCGTGAAGCCGTTCCTACAGATGTTGTGCTACGAGATAATAAGAATGTTATAATACTAGAGTGCTAAGTTCCTCCCATTATAATGAAATAAATGCTACTATTTATACCGCAAATGGATAGTTAGATGCATTGAACCCATCTGTGGATAACCTGATCCTAACCACCAAATATTCCGCATTAAACGCGCGATCACCAGGATCTTGGCTTCCCGCCAAGGGGTGGGGAGGTTCGTCCACATGGATTTGCCTAGCTCGATCCCGACCACCGGATCTTCTGCATTAAATGCGCAACCACCAAATCTGCTGTATTAAATGCAGAATCACGCCAGGATCTTGGCTGTCCGCCAAGGGGTGTGGACGTTCGTCCCCATGAGCTTGCATCCTGTTTCCTGCTGGATCCGAAGTCCTGCAAGACGTAGGTCTCATTCTGCTCCTGGGCCAAGGTGTCTGCCCACGCTAGGATATGTACGTCCCCCGGATGGGGAAGGGTACCCCGTGGTCTTGGGCCTTCCGGGGACGTTCGTCCCCTGGGCTTGCGGAGTTTCCTGCTGGGCAAAGTCCTGCGAGACGTGCGTCAGCTGCTGCCCCTAGGCCAAGGTATCTGCCTTCGCTAGGATACGTACGTCCCCTGGATAATCGGGAGGGTATCCGCTTGTCTTGGACCTTCTGGGGACGTTCGTCCCCATGAGCCTTAAGGGTTTTTGGGCCAACACCCATTGGGCCATTAATCCAACAGATATAAACAATTATCATTTTATTTCACACATTATAGGTATAATCTCTAATATGTGTGAGTTAGTGTTTATTTCAAAAACTTTGAAATATATTTATGTATAATAAATTAGTAATCATAAAATTGATTCACTTTAGTATATTGTGCACAATCTGAAAATGCATTGAACCATTAAATTTTAAAGAAAAATGAATTGTCTCAAATTAAATTCTGAAAACGCATATTAAGTCATTGCAATAATTTATTACATAAGAAATATAGGAAAGGTGTTTTAAAGTGATACTCCGTATTTGACTAATATTTAACTAATAATCAAATCGATTCAATATTTGTATATGATTCGTTAACTATTCGTATTGTTAAACAAATATGAATACAAATCGAAAATTATCATTCAATTCATATTCGAATTGGGATTCGTATTTGAAAAAATTAAAGAAATACGGCTCAATTTTATTTGACTATTCGTTACAAAAATCACACTATTCTACTAACCCAGTAGAAGCAATTTTAGCCGCAGGATTTCTTTCGGTCATTTACGGCTCAATTTTATTATTTTATTTTCCCTTCATATCGGACTCTCTCTTCTTCAACGCACCTTTACTCTCTTTCTCATATCGATAGTTCATGACTAATGACTTCATGGGAGCCACTTCCACTTCCGCCTTTTGGAGTTCACATAATAGTTCTTTCATTCAATCGCACTATAAATGATCCATTTGTGGTCAAAAACATGGGTTTGGGGCATCTTCATCAATCACCATTGTCCATTGAATTTGTTCGTGAACATTAGAGATGTATGTGCTGTTCATCCTCTCCGTATTTTAAGTCTCTACCCACTTTTCTGGCGTCTCCGTTCTCCTTTATCGGGAATTCATTTCTCAATTATTTCTCACCTCCAATCTTACTCCATTTCTCAAATTTGCACATTATGTTGCAAATAATATGGCATGCAAATATTTGGATATATGCAAATTATTTTGCATGCCAGTTTTTTTTTTTAATTTGAGTGAATTTTTGGATATAGTGAAATCTGATTTATTTGTTTTGTTGCAGGCTCTGCTGCTTTTTATATCCATAATCCATTAGATGTTGATGTATATATTCTATGTAAAACTTCAATTTCAGGCTTGCGTGAAAAGTATGCTTCTGGTTTAAATATATGGTATGAAAATTGTGCTGATTTTTCTTATACTACGCATGTTTATAGAAATTTGAAAATCATTGGTGTTATTCAAAAGATCTATTTGTAATCATCTCATTGAAATGGTCAGTTTATTATTGGAATAAGCAGTTTCTACTACACATCCTTTGCCGCAATTGTATCAGATTTATGAACTAACTTGCTCATTTTTTATTTATTAAAAAACAATTTGTAATTGACTTAGTTACTGCCACACTAAATTGGGACTGAAGATAACCATAAAAAGTGACACACACAGAAAAAACTTGGGTGATAGTTCATACTCCCTCCGTCCCGCTAACAATGAGACAAGAGGGAGTGACACACAAATTAATAAAAAAGTGGTTTATGTGGTTGATATTGAATTGATAAAGTAAGAATAAAGTAAGAATGATTTAGAGTCACACAAACTTTACCAAATTTGGTATGAGACAATCTTATTGGAACGGACCGATAAGGTAAAATGAGACAATCATAGTGGGACGGAGGTAGTATTATCTAAGACCAGCTACCTAGGATGGCCTCAACTTGGGTTCGGTTACAGCTCGCTCAACTTGGGTTTGGTTCCAGAATTTATAGCATCTGAAAGTGAATTTATTCTGTGCCAATCAACTCTAATATGATGAGTTAAATTTTGATGAAAATTTAAAAGTCCATTCTTCATTTCCATAGCAGAAAAGCTGAAAGCATCCACAAGCATCAGTGAGTTTTTCATTTCTGTTTGTGCATACAAGGTTGCTGTGTGCTTATTTTATCAATATTTGTATTAACACCTAACTAGATATCTAATAAATACTCTTACGAAGTTGTAAAATGTCTTAGTTAAATTTCTAGGGATTTCATAAGTCTTTAATATGCCTTTGAAGTTCTGAAATGAATAAGCCCTTCAGTTCCTATGCAATTTCAGCTCTTGATCTATATGATTATATAGATCTGATGTTGAGTGTCTGTCTGTCTATATCAAATATTTATATTTTTTAATAAAAATAAGTCTCTCACTAAAACTAACTTGCATATTTATCATGAAGTATTCTCTATAGGAATGGAATACATGAGTGTTTTGTTTGTTTATATACTACTTATGTCTATTCTCAAATTCCGACAGGGATGGAAAGACCCATTTGATATGCTTTGTCAACATTTGAATCCACTTATATGCATATTCATTTGGACAGGTAATGAGATTTCTCAACATTTGAAAGATTTTGGTTTGAATCCACATATCTAGATTTGATCTTAATGGCTATCATAGTTTGAAATTACAAATGTTCTTTTTATTTATTAAAATGTTATTTTGTAGTTATCATAGTGTGCGGTGCTTGCAGTAATTTGTGCACTTTTATGGTGTCCGTAAGGTGGACTTATTCTCATCAATAGTTCTCCTTCTATATAATAGCAGTACATTGATAAAAAAGAATCTCCGGTCAATTCATAGATCAGTTTGAAATCATAAATTTCTTATATTATCTTATCTTTTTTTATATATGTTTGTGTTTTTTTGTTGATGTGGCAGTGTCTTTAAAATACTTTTAGCCCCGACTTTAAAAATGTCAAGTATTTCTTTGCATACGCTTAGCCTGGCGTATAAGATTCTTATAGGTTTATTACTCCCCCGTGCCCCTGTTATTGTCTCATTTCCTATTCACTTGGTCAACACAAATCACTCTTAATTTTTTACTTTATGCATCAATTTTTTATCAAATTTGATTCTGGTTTTTGCGACTTTGTAAATCTTTTAATGTAGTTTCTGAATATGTATTTTTTTCTAAAAATAATTTGATTGCAGACAGGGATCTTTTTGCTTTATCGTCGGTCAAGCATCGTAAACCGCAATGGAATAATAACAGGGGGACGGATGGAGTACTATTTATTTTAGAAACTTCCATTGTATGAAAATATCGGTATGTTATTTGTTTAAGCCACTGCGTCTGACTGGTCTGAGGTTCTGAGGCCTGCAATAGCAGATACTATAAATCAGAAAAGAAAGATTTTTTCCCGACAGAAGTAGGAATCGGTATCAGAAATCAGAAAGATTGTGCTGGCTTGAAGCTGTTAACTCTTTTTTTCATCAAAATTGCTCTTTGTACACTCAATGTACACACTATTTAAACCCAAAAAAATTTACCCCCCTCTTTTCCCCTCACTCCCCCACCCGGCCCACGCTTCTCACTCGCTCCCCCGCTCCTCGAAAATCAAAAGTCTCCCACCCGGCCCACGCGTCTCTCTTCTTCCTTACAACGGCGAAAATCAACGAGCTGCCTCCTCGCTGCAGACTTCCTCCTTCTCGAAAATCAACGAGCAACTTCCTCCTTCTCGAAAACCAAACCTGCGGCGACATCCCCTTCCTTCTCTCCCACATCCCCACGAAACCGGCACCCCCACTTACACTGCGGACTGAGGTTGGACCACGACGCACAACAATGGTGCGAACCCCACTGGCAGAGATGGCCGAGAGGTATGTATCATTTCCCAACCTTTGTTTGTTTTTAGGTTTATTATTTAATTTGTTGGGTTTTTTGCAATCTTCGAACATTTGTCTGTGGACTGGTTTAAAATTTTGTCTATGATATATTGTAAATCCTTTGTTGATGTGCGCAAGTTGTCTGTGTGGTGGTGTTAACTTCATTTTTTTTGTTATTTATTGCTTGTGAATGAAATTATGTCTATGACATAGTGTAATTCCTTTGCTGATGTTTATAAATTGTCTGTGTGGTGGTGTAAAGTTCCTGTGGAGTGTTATTTATTGTCTGTGAATATACTTTAGGTCTATGAACGTCACCTTTTGTCTCTCTGCCCTAATAATTTATTGTTCTTCCAACTGCCAGAGCCCTGAAGTTACGCATTCCCAGTCATGACTACTTCCCTGCCCAGTATTCGGTGTGTTCAAACTTTAGAAATGCTGCCAAATGGGTACAAAGCAGCTTATCTGCAACAGAAATAGAAATTTTTCACGCTTTACCATGGGGCCATCTTATTGACATCCCACCCACACAATTCTCTGGCCAAGTCTTTCACATGCTGGCCTTACACCTTGTGCAGGAGCAACCTGATGAGGAGCTGTGGTTTGCCATTGGGGGTACACTGTATAAGTTTACTTATGTGGATGTTTGCCGCATAAGTGGATTACCAGCGGGTGCTGAACCAGTAGCTGCTGCAGGTGATGTTTCAGGACAAGAATCTGGCGATGAAGCTGAACCAGTAGGGGCCATTGCTAAGAAGTATTTAGGTGGCTCAGTCGACATTACACACGTCAATTTGAAGAACAAATTTGAGAAACTGAAACTTTCCAAACGTCGTAATCAGATGGATGCTGTAAAGTTGGCCTCCTTGTTCTATATTGAGTGTGTGTTGCTTGCTAAGGACAACACTACGAGGATAAATGCATCCTCTATCAGACTGGTGAATGATTTAGAGGAATTCAAGAAGTGTCCGTGGTCACTTCGTTCGTACAAGTTATTGGTGAGTCATATGAAGGGTCTGATGGATGGTCAACCTCAGAAGTTCAAGGACCGGAAGGAGAACAATCCATTGTCTCCATTCAACCTGCTATATTTCACCCAACTGATAATCAAATTGCATCTCTAAAAGCTTGGATACAAGAAGTTGACACTGTTGAACCTAAAACGTTTGTTCTTAATCTGCCATCATTTGATGAAGTGGACAGGGACTTTTTCCGTGAGCTCGTGGAACCAGATGAGTCTTTATGGTCATATGTGAGTGCCTTCTCATTTTCATATATTGTCATGTATAAATATATGTCTGACATTGTTTTTAGTTAGCATATGGATGCTCTTTCCTACCTGCTTCTGAAAGATTGTGCGTCGGACAAGCCGTATAAGCTAATAAGCCCTTACTTTGCGGTATGTGTTGTTTATCTGTACAGAACTTACATAATTATTTAAGATAACATTGCCATAATAACTTTTTGTTTGTGTAGCATCAAGTCATGACTAAGGATTATAAAGATGAGAATGCATGGACTGCTGATAGGTGTCTACCTAGTGTTGACTGGAGAGGTTTACAAAAAGTAAGTGATTACCTTCGTTATTCAATTGTTTGTGTGTTAACTATTTTTTGTACGTATACAAACTGTTCACCTAAGTTTTTTATTTATTTATTGTGTTCAGGTTTTTGTACCTTTGAATGTTGATGGGATGCATTGGGTTTTAGCGGAAGTTGACCTACATGCAAAATTGGTACGTGTATATGACTCCATGAGAACAAGTAGGTCAATGTTGCATGCGGCGCATTTGTGTGTGAGACTTCCGCTACTCTTCCGATTCATACAAGCCCACCCAGATCTTTGTAAGGTAGAGCATTGGAATGCTCAGCTAGCTGCAGATGTTCCACAACAAGAGGGAGGGTAATGTTAATCTGTTCACCTACAAATTTGTTTATGTGTAGTGTACTAATTTGTCTGTGAATACATATTAATTCGTTGTTATGTCTGTGTGGCAGAACTGTTTGCGGACTGATGGTTGTTTGTTATGCTGAGGCTTTGTTGTTGGGACTTCCCTTGACGCCACATTGCGAGTATGCGAACGTGGCTACAAAGAGATGGCACTTTGCGCTACGCCTTTGGAGTTTGAGGAAGCCAATTTCTTAGAAAACATGCAATGTACATTTTTTTGCTAATCAGCTAATGTATCAAACATTATGTAGCTGTGAATATCTTTTTTTTGTCAACGGTTTAGGTTTTGGTAACCGTTTTTTGAATGGAATGTATGATAATGTACATTGTTGTGCTATGATCAACCTTGTACAATGTCCTACAAGGTACTTCCACAGGAGGGTACATATGAAGGTTGTAGAAAACATTACTCTGCTGATTTTTGTGTAACGAAGTAACAATTTGGTATGGAATGCATCATATTGTTTTTTTTTGTAAACCCTTGTGTCTGTGAGTATATAATATTGTCTAGGCGAGGTAATACGTATGTCTGTGACTAAATTATATTTCACAAAATATTGTTAGTGACAAAAATCAGACAAAAAACTATACAATTGTGCCACCAGTAGCTGCACCGTTTAACACCAAATAATTCACATCAAAGATAGATTTAAATCTAAACCAGTAGAGTACACAATTGGCACATTAGCTACACCGTTACTTTGGATCGTTGTGGCAGCGGCTCGTGCATTATCCTTCTTAGCCTTTCCTTTCTTCTTCCCCTTTTCTAGTGGACCCTTTGCTCGGTTTTTCCTTGGAGCTCCCTTGCGCTTCGTACATTTAGGATCTCCAATAGGTAGAACTTCGACCTCGCCACCTATACTTGTGGTTGGGTCTTCAAGTGGTGTCATGTTGCCACCAATAGAAGAATTGTTAACCGGAGGAGTATATGTGGACAATTGGGTGTCCAACCAAAGGAGGACTTCGTTGTATTTGGCCTCATCATCTGCTATCATGTTGGCAAAACTCTCAAAGGTCTTACATAACTTGTCAAAGCGGTGTTGTTCAACCGTTGTAATCCACCCGTCATAATTGATTTTCACTCGTTGGTACGCTCTTTTCATGTCTTTCCTCCATCTTTTCATTAGGTACACCTCGGGCAAGAGTTGTATATCAAGCCGAATTAGGACCACAATTAAATGTTTACATATCATTCCCCTAAACTCAAACAAATGACAACTACATATTCCAAAACAAGTAATTGGGTCAAACTCAATATAGAAGTTCACATTCTTCTTAAACCCATTAATATCCATACGCTCCTTCACCATAAAATTTTTACCATCTTCACATACTAGGAGATCACAATAAAGCTTTCCAAGTAATTCCTTTTGAAACTCCGCAAACTTGGAAAGAGTGTAAATGTGTTGCACTTGTTTTTCCATTGGATATGTAGTCACACATGGAATCATTTTGGTAAATGAGTTAGTATCCGCTTGAAATTCTTTTTCCACCTTATCACGCAAAGCACATCCGTATTGTTCAACAAATTGTTTGAGAGTGGTTTTCGAATTCACATACTTATCAAAAAATGCGTTCATGCTCTCACTTCGTTGAGTTGTGGACATGCCCGCCCAAAAGGTTGGCTTTAAATAACATGGTACCCAACGCTTTCTTTCATTGTACATCACCCCTAGCCATTCATGCTCTTCAAGTGAAAACCTGAAAGCATATACACTACAACAGCTCAGTTTAACAATAAATGAAAAATAAGTTGTTCACTGCCCACAAACACTTTTATGACTGTGAACTACAAAATTTATTGTCTATGACCAATACACATGTCTATGAGCCAGAAAACTTACTGCCAGTACACAAAATTAAGCATACAAATTCATACCTTTGAACCATGTCAACCCATTTCTCCTCAAACTCTTGGGTGTATTGGGAATCATAAATGCAGTCATGCAAAACATTCAATATTTCATCTTTTTGTGCATCCCCTCCGAGTTTTTCGGGTACCTTTTTCATGATGTGCCATAAACACCATCGGTGTTTTGTGTTTGGGAAAACAAGTGCAATGGCATTTTGCATAACACGATCTTGGTCGGTAATAATCCCAATTGGAGCAATGCCATCCATACATTCAAGCCATGCTTTAAACAACCACACAAAGGTTTGTGTATCTTCATTAGAGACTAATCCACATCCTAGTAGCATTGATTGCCTGTGATGATTTACGCCGACAAATGGTGCAAATGGCATGTCATACCGATTTGTAAGGTAGGTCGTGTCAAACGTTATGACATCTCCAAATTCTTTGTACGCATATCTACACCTATTGTCGGCCCAAAAGACATTACACAATCTTGACTCCTCATCTAAGTCAAGTGCAAAGAAAAATCCGAGGCATTGAGCTTGCATTTTAGCGAAGAACCCTTGAATGGCAATTGCATCCCCACTACCTAACCTAAGTTATCTAACTTTATCTATATAGTTCCTACAATCTTTTTCAATGAAGGGAAGTTGATCATACCCACCGGCCTCAACAACGGCCGCGGTGAAGCTTTTATTAAGTCGTATTCCCGCAACATCATTTATTGCAAGTTTCCTCGCCATTCCATGAGTTAACTTCCGATTGCATCGGAATAGGCGAGCCTTTGTTGGACTCATAGGATGTGAATGTTGTAAAAAGACTTTTGAAATTTGCCAAATTCCCGCATAATTTACGTGCGCTCGTAGTCTAGCTTCACACCCTATTTGCATTGAAGGTTGGGGCTTCAATTGATTTTTTGACTGACTACATCTTCGACCAGCCCGCGAACATTCTAGTAGAATTGACACAATGTGTTCTCCTCTTTTGTCTTTAGTTGTGCTCCTAGTTCTTATAGGAAATCCCAAACGCTTCCCGTATGCTTTGTAAAAATCATAGACTGCTTCTCTACTTTCAAACTCCATACCAACTTCCGGATCTTGACCAACTTCATTCTGTTTTGGCAACTCTTCTCCATCTGTTATGTTACATGATTCATTTATTAATGTGTTCTAACCAACTTACAATATCACACAGACAGTGATATATGCACACAGACAATTCAAATCTTTCACAGACTAGTTGAAATACTACACAAACAAATAAATCTTCCACTGTCTTCATACACAAACAAACACACACATAAACAAGTGACAACTCCTACGACTTGCATGTGTCACCAAACGTATGCATGCTTATGTGTCACAGACACGTTGAATACTACACAAACAAACATGTTTATGACATTCTGCAAACACTAAAAACCCACATAAACAAGCATAAACCCACTAAAACTCACATAAACAAATAAATTAACACATAAACAACTTCCACCTCTAACAACATGCCTGTGAGAGTAAACGTATTTCAACGTTCAAGAAGATTACGTCACTATACCAAGGTCAGAAACGACGTCCATGGCCGTCGGCGACGTCAGCCCTTCATCTACCCCGGCTAGGTTCGTGTGATCGTCATCTTCTCCGGCTCCAAGAGTGCGTCCAACAACATCTCCAACTCCGGTGTTATCTCCAGACCCCTCTCCGCCTCCATCCGTCATCCCGTCACCTTCTCCAGCTCCGGCCGTCTGTCCTTGAATTTCTCCAGCTCCGGAAGACATCCCAACTTCACTGCCTCCGGGATTCTCATCCCATGAAGCCCAAAAATCGTCGAAGTTAGTCACCAACGTGTCGTCGTACGGATAATCCATCGAAGAGGAAGCTTTGTGAAGGTTGATGAAGGTGGAAGCTTGTTTGTTGATTTCGTTGAAGGGAAGAAGAGAAAGGAGTGGCCGAGTGGGGAGAGAGTGAGAAGCGTGGGTCGGGTGGGGGAGTGAGGGAAAAAGAGAGGGGTAAATTTTTTTGGGTTTAAATAGTGTGTACATTGAGTGTACAATTGTGTGTACAAAGAGCAATTTTGTTTTTTCATTGTTTCTTTCTGTATTGTTAAAATTTAGTGCAATTATGTAGGATGATTTCTAATGTACCTACTTTTTGACATATATTTTGCTTCAATTTGCATTTCAACTCATATCGTTTCCGGTTTTTATTTACAGTAGATGCGTCACGCTTCTCATTTTCTAAGACACCCTATTCTGAATAAGAAATTCTTCCTCAGCTATATATGTAGTGAAACTATATCTGTGTTGTTATATGTAGCTAAACCTATATTATATGGTATAGGTACTCTCTGTATTCTGCATATGCCATGTTTGATAAAAAGCTTAGGTGATCTTTATTTGGTTTTTAAGTAGCATTAATCCAGGTTTTTGTTTATAGATGATAAGTCTGAAATTCTTATATTTACAACATGATCTCATTCTCCAGCTTGGTATATATACTTTAAAATCAAAGTTGAATTCATGGGCTGCAGGTCTCCATATATTTCACCAATTACCTTGACCTGAAGTGATCTTCAATAATATTTTTCACATCCATAAACAAGTTTCACTTATGGTTTGGTGTGGTGCACTTTTTGGTAGCATGCTTTTTGCTTTTTCTAAACATTTTTTTTTATTTTAATTGATAGGAGATTAATAGTTCAGACAATGGTTTGCATCTAAATCGGTGCATTAGAACTATGTTATACACTGGAGAGAACAAACAAGATTTCAAGGATGCAATGACCTCCTTGAGATGGCACAGTCAAAAATCAATCCGTTCATTCAACCAGAAGAGAAGTGGGGCACTGACAATTTATCCTCCATGCACACCAATGATATTGACTTGAACTTGAAAAAAAAGGGAGAATTTGGTTTTGCACCCCATTTTTTGGGTGATATTAGACCTTGCACCTCATTTAAAAAAAAATTGACTTTGCACCTCATTTCACTTAAAAAACCTTTGACATTGCACCCTATTCGGTAATTTTTCTTCACAAAATGTTATATGTTGGAGTGCAAAATCATTTTTTTTTTCAAAATGGGGTGCAAAGTCTAATATCACCCATCAATCATGCCTAGGAGACCTTGAGAGACCAAGAATGACTGATATTGAGTCCGCCAAGTGATGTAATCTTCCATGGCATGAGGTTTTGTTGTAACAATATTTGTTACGTTTGTGGCAACATGTGAGATGGACTGTCTGAGAGCCCACAAACGTAGGCCCAAAGAAAGAAGGACCTCTAGGAATAGAATTAATGTAAGAAGCCGGGGCTGGAGGAGCGTCGAACATCACACCAGTAAGAGGTGGCGGTTCCAACTCCATACTTAAATACTACTAGTATAAATTATTGAGTTTTAAATTATTCACATGCTCTACTTTAATTATATTTTATTTATTCATATATCGGAATTTTAATTTTTGAAAAATTAATGTTCATCTTTTCTCATTTTGAATTTTTAATATATGAACTTTTTGAAATTTTGTATTAATGGTCAAAATTCTGCGTTGTCAAACGTGAACATGGAAGTGTTGTACCACGTAACTAATTAAAAAAGAATGAAAGAAGTATATAGTACCTCATACATC